AGTAAACGAATTCAATCGTGCATTCGTTTGAGGAGATGCTCGAACTGCTCACTGGCACCAGCCTAACTTACCTCAGATTTGGGTAAATGAGTTTGACTGGCTGAGTGTATGTGCAAGGGACGACACTCTCTAAGGCCCTCGAACCTCGAAGCCGCTGTGCCCGCTCATTTCTTCGGCTTCCCCGGGGAGCCTTATTCCTCCTTATCTCTCAGGATTACTATTGTCTCAAATTCTCTTTGATCCGATGGAAGAAAGTACAAGAAACTTTTAGAAGATGGGAGGTCCGATGACATTACGTGGTTTGGACGTGCTATGAAGTCATCCGGGAATAGATTCATAGGAAGGTTCTTGCGAACTGTCAACCAGTACTTGTGCCACTTATGTGACTGTACCGCCAAGACTGGTCAATCCGTAAGTTATAAGATGGGTGGATGTGATGACTACCCACTGTCCTTGCTCAACGCAGACATGCCTCTCCCTCGCACACCCACACAGACATTGTGTGGGAATGAGAAGAGGCTGCTCATACTCTTGTTCATAATCCACCACAGCATCCAATGAGTCAGCAAAGCAGGCGTGAGAGAAGTCCTCATGGAACTCGACATTATCACCGAAAGGAATGGCGTCGGATCTGGTTCAGTCGAAGGAAGAAAACAAAAAAGCAGAAAGTAATCCAAGCTAAAGAAATGCATTATCACTGCCAGTGAGGAAAACTACTTTAGGAGGAGCCCTTGAGAGGCCAAAAGCTCCCTTTACAGCGGGTTTCGAGGGAAAACAACTGGACTGAATGGGATCGATCGCTGATCAATGTGGCCGTTTGTAGGCGTCGGCAAGGGGCACCTTTCGTTGGGAGATGATCCAAGCAGCGCCTTCTCAGGGAACAATATTCTTCCCTCATCAGGCGTAGTACCCTGTACACCTTGTCCACCCACTGTGCAACTTGCTTGCAATACATATACGCCTTGCAATTTACTGGGTGCAATTTTCTGCAACATATACAGATCAGGGATCAAACAAACTAGCAAACAGGGCGTGGCTTGTATTATGAGCTACAATATGGAGGTAACTTGGCCAGACTTATTTCCGACTGCAAAGCATCCTTTGCTTTTACACGTACGAGAACAAAAGCTGTGCATTAAAAGCAGTGAACTTTGCCCACTCTTGCTGCTTTACAATAATTAATTTTCACAGAGGGTTTGTAGCCCCCGATAACTTCCTCACACTAATCCCTATGCCCATACACGTTTTTCCTGTTCTTATAGCAGTCGTGTTTTTGATTTTAGTCTGATGGAGAAGAGTAAGTAGCAAAGACAGAAGACAAGATCTACTGCCTTTGCTTGTTATCTGCTTATCCAAGGTCAACTTCTTCTTTCCCTTAGAGTGAGTCCGCGTACTCGCGGGGTTCGCTGTTCATGTTGGTAGTCCCCATTTTCCCCCTCCCGTCGAAGGCATTTTCAACCTGAATACACCAGTGACATCCTCAATTTTGGCACCACCCATTTTGGTGGGGGTTGTTCCGACTGATTACTGCTGGTGTCGCCTGTGACAACTTGCAAATGCCTGTGAAGCTATACGAAAGCAGGAGCTTCGTCCACACTTGACGAGAGTCTACAAGCACCACTAACGTAGGATTTGTAACACAAAAGGGATAACCAAGGGAAGCAAGGCGAAGTGAAGCGACTTATCGCCCTCCTCCGCCCCTCCTGAGCCGAACGGCACCTTCATTTCTTGATTTCGCAAGGAGAATGTTTCTTTTTTTCTCTACCAAATCTCTGCGCTTGTGAATTTGGCTTACAACAGGCAACGGCCGTTCATTTCTGATCCACCATTTTTATCACTATTTGTTCGAATTATTTAAAATGTGATATTAAGGAGATCCTGTATCGATGAATAACAGCGAGGAAATCAAGGAGTTCAAGGAATATCTGGGAGTTAAACTTATCGAAACATTGCTAATAGGAGCGGTTAGTGTGTATATTAAGTAGTTTCTTTTGAACTGGGAGCATTCATAAGTAAAATTACACTAGTATATACAGCCGTGTTGGAGGTAGTCCTCACCATTGGCGTCTCTTTCTCTGATTAAAGGCAGTTGGCACGATGGTTTCCCTACTTAGCCTAAAATGCTAGTAGGGCGCTGTATAGTGGGGAAATGGCGAAAGAACGGAGTGAAACGGTCAAAATCCTGCGAAGAAAAAGCCTCCGTTCTCAGTGACTTGAAAATCGATTTCGGACGAGTTTCCCGTAGGCATCTTACCAATCACCGCTACCGAAGATACGGCTGCATATGTGTACCCATGTATGCATGCAGCATCACGGCCGCTTCATACCCTTCGCTTCATAATTTGCTTAGCAAATGAATCGATTAGAGCGTAAGGGACGCGTCAATTTGTTTGCGGGCGGGCGTGGCTAGCGTTTGGGACGTAAAGTTGTGGCTTGATAGGGCCCTTATAAGGGCACCTTCCTCGGGGAAACCGCTATGCAGCGCCTGCCCAGGGTCGCGGAATTCTATCCTGCCAGGAGTATTGATCCTAGTCGTCTTGGGGATTTATCGTGCCAACTGCCTTTAAGTCCCACGGAGAGTACCATCGCCCCTCTGCCTTCCAGTAGGCTGGAGGTGCTTGAACTTTTGTTTTCAAAAAATCGCGAGAGTCCATATGTACATCGCACTATACAATGACCCGTGCACCCCATCAGTTACTTGGGCCAGTGTTAAGGACAAATGACCATGTATTATTCTTGGGAGCAAATGTTCCACCGGACAAATTCTCTGTTTCAAGGTGACCACCTTCGGATTCGTGGGCAACTTTCTGTCGTTTCTCATTCTGATTCGCCACAAAAACTTCAAAAATTCATTTGGCTATCTAACAGCATATGGTGCAATTACGAACGCTTGTCTGCTTTTGATACTATCTGTATGGGCAACGCCGTGGACTTTATTGTAAGTATGTCGATCTATGTTTTATCAGTTACAGTCACATTAGTAGGTAGGTAGATCGAAGCTAGCAAAATTTTAGTGCGATTCCTATTGAACTACAAGGACTCAATCTATTTGTCGGGCAACTGTCCTTATTTTTCGAAGAGTCATCATTCCATTGCAGCCTTCTCATCACCATAAATAGGTATGTTTTCAGAATTCCAAGGACTGCCATTTACCCTCTCCTCTCCCCGCAGACGTTGCCGTCTATCGTGGTAGAGGTGGGGGGACAGGTGTAGTGTATGTGTGGAACGGAGATAAATCGTTCAACAACCGAGAAAATTTAGCCATGCACGACAAGGAGAAAATTTTCCAAAAACAGACGTGACCCTATGACCCTCCTTGTCAAAGCGAGGAGGAAGTGGGACTCCATCCCACCCCCTTTCCCTTATGAAGCCTACCAGCGTCGTGGATAGTGCGTGTGAAACAGGAAACAGCCGTTGTTGTTCGTTGGAAACAGACAATTGTTTCCTGAGGCCGAAACGACCCCGCTCCTTCGAGGGACCACATTCCCTCTCCCGAGGGGCTCCCCTAGAGTATAACGCGCTTTGGAGAAGGTGTAAGGAACTACAAGCTATCACAATCGTTGAGCGCACTTTCAAGTGACAGAAGGGGTGCACTTGTGCAGCCACAAATCAGCCCACTCCGCAAATTGAAGGGATCCAAGTCACAGGGGCTTTTAAAATTGATTGATTATATGTACAAACCTAAACGTAAATTCATACAGATTCCTTGCGGTGGTTGTATCCTCTATTCTATCGGAGAATGTTCAATGAACGGCTTACTAAATCGTTACTGCTGGTGGTCTCCTTTGCCTCGCTACTTTATTTCGGAATTTACTTCATAGGTTAGTTCTGTTTGGTTGCTCAGCGCTGATTCCTCGAAAACCGTAGTGATTTTCAGACGGATGTAGCTTCTACTATGATCACCAGTACAGTATATGGACATTTGGCGTGGAGCCATGCAGCGAGAAGATATCGTTCTATTTCGATATGTGCTACAATGCCAGTCTTTTTGTAATAATTGCCGGCATCGATACGGTGGTATTCATGCGCTTGAGAGCACTGACCAAGGTAGAACTGCGATTCACCTTTCAGTTGTGAACTTCGTGAAGCCGTGTAATTCCTGTTGAAGGTAAAAAATATTTAGAAAATGAAGAGAGTCACTGCAGCCGATCCAGAAGCACAAAAAAAACTGCTGCTTGAGAGGGACGCTCGGCTATTCCTCCAGGTTAGACTTACGTCACCAAACAGTCCGTTTATCTTAGAGCACATTCCACGACGCGTCGGCGCGCTACGACTCGCTTTTCAGCGAGTCGTAGATAAACGCACTGCTTGGTGACGTAAATCTAACCTGGAGGAATAGCCGAGCGTCCCTCTCAAGCAGCAGTTTATTTTGTGCTTCCGGATCGGCTGCAGTGACTCTTTTCATTTTCTAAATATTTTTTACCTTCA